CACAAGATTGTATGAGTGTCTTTCGTTCTTCTCTTTTTCTCTTTCTTATTTCTTTTATTTGACAAAGCATCGTTTCTCTTCTTCTTCTTCTTTTTTTTCTTATTTGTTTCATCTCTGTCGTTGTCGACATAGAGAACCTCGTTACAGTACACAATGCCTTGACAACAACGTTATGTGTCTGTGTATATGTGTTCCGTTTCCCGGGAACGGCGTTATTGTTCTTCCTATTTTCTCACTCATTCATTCAATCATTTATCGATTCACATGTTATCTATCCATTTTTTCCTACTTATATTCTTTTTTATCAGATTGCATGTTCAAACTTCATTATATCATGTTTCAGAAAAATAGACGAGAAAAAAAATGAAAGTAAAAGATGTTAATTCATTCTTGACTCAAGAGACTCACTTATTAAAATAGATGAACAAATGAACAGATAGTAAAGTAATTTCATAAAAATCTAAGTGAAAAACAAAAATTATATGTTTATCTGAGAGAAACAAAAAGAAAAATGAATATCTAATCATCTGACTACGAAAAATATACATATTAGGGGGAAAGAAAAAGGAATTAAAAAGAGATATAAAGGATCAGAATTGATCTAGTTATATAGAAATGATTGACTTATTTTTCTCATTCATCAACAAAAAGAAACAAGCATAAAAAAAAAAGAAAAAAATAGTCTATTTCTGTAACTGACACAACGTAAAAGAATCATCATTCTAACTGCATTTTCATTATATTATTAAATCCAACAATTGCATTCGTTTATTATGATATATATATATCTATATGTATTCGACATACTATATAATGATAAATGTTACTAAATCCAACAATCCTTTCTTGCAGAAAATCTCCCTTGATAGAAAAGAAAAAGATCTATATATAAGAAGCTTCTTTTCTATCACATAATCAGTCAAATGCGATCTTTTCAATGACAACAAAAAAAAAAGAAGAAAAGAAGAAATTGGTATATCGAACTAACTCTAACTTAGAGATAGTCTGTCTTTTTTTTGTCTGTCGGCATCTTAGAATCAACCACCGATCAATTATAGATTTCCTGGTTAGCCCGAGCGTGTGCCCCCGGTTTTTTTTCTGCTTTTCTTGTTATTTGATAAAACGTTCATTCTTTTGCTTTTTTTCTTCGGTCTCAAGAGTAATAAGACATCATTGTCGTTCTTCGGATCGCGTTATGGAATGACAATTTTTTTGACATTTGCTTAGTAAGCTTTCTCGTTTGCAATGCTCGATGTCAAAAATGCATTTGGACTTCGTTTGTCACTCGAGAGACTGAGAGAGAGAGAGAGAGACACTATTGACGATAAAAAATAGAAGATAAAATCATTGAAAATAACAACAACAACAACAACATCAGCATGTTCACAACGATAATGATGACGATAATGGTGATGATGATAATGATCAATCGTGTTTGTTCCGGAATAGTATCCGGATTAAGCTTAACACTACATTCACCACTGAGCATTTCATCGAAATGACTGTATGTCCGGACGTCAACAGAAATGGAAGCATTATCATAGATGCAATTACTGAGATAAACTTCGTTTTTAAGACTTTCAAGTACAAGAAACTCACATATAATTTACATAGTCGTAGAAAGATAAATGATAGGTGTTTTTTCTCTCTCCAATACATGGAATTAAACAAACAAAATTCCTTATTTTTTTTTAATAAACTAAACTAGTGTCATTATTTTTTCTTTTTATTGACACAACAATATATAATGTCAACAATACAAACTATTATATACAGAAATATTAACATCGATAGTAAATAAATGAAATCAAAAATTTTTTGATTGATGTTATATATTATTTTCAAGGAAAACATTTGAAGAAGTACAATATATATATATTTCATATTGATGAAAACTATTTTTACATTATTTAAACATTTTTCTGTTATAATCAAAAGAACTCTAGTGCATTCAATTAGAAACGAACTCATACAAAATATTATAAAAGAAGTCTTTGGTGGCATCAAGGGAAAATGCATATATGTCACAAAGGATTAACATCGGAAAAAATGATTAAATTTATGTTTTGCACTGATGAAATGTTCGAATCTCATTCGAAAATATTATATATTTATAAAAAAAACAAAAGTCTATTGATAGATATATATGCATGTACATGTAAAATAAATATATATAATGAAGAAATCTAAATAAATGTGATTTATTTTCTTATTATAATTTACGAATGAATAGATTCATCAAACAAATCAATTTAATCCGTTTAAAATACAAATCTTCATTTTTTTGTTGTCATCTATAGCCTTAGGATAAGAGAAAAATGATGAATAATTAAGAAGATTTTGTTATTTGATCGATCTATAACAAAATTTACTATTTTTCTGACAGAAATATTTTGTACTGGGAATCGAGTTCAATTCATAATGACTTTGCCATATAATATGACGATGATTAATAATATTTGTCATGTGAAATAATTTATTAATGATACGAAAAAAGTTTCTATGATGAAATATTATTCTATATAATTCTTTGATTTTTCGTTTTCAAAATTCTAAATATACAAAGTATATATCATCTTTAACAAAATAAATTGTCTCATCAAGCATAGAAAGTCGGTATTCATTGAAATGAAAGGTTAAATATAATCACTTAGATAGAATGCAACCGGAAATCTTTTGAAAAATAGAAAAAAAAAGTCTAAATCTATGAATGATAAAAGTTTAAAACAAATCTTTTTATTTTCTCGGAAGTGCCATTTTTCCTGATCTCACTTTATGCAGAAAAAGTATTAACTATTAAGTAATTATTACAAAAGAATAAACCTATTTAGATTTAATTGAAAGATGATTTATCTTACAAAACAAAAAATTCTATTTGATTTTATTGAAAGAAAACATAAAATTTCAATTTGTCAATATAAGTTATCAACATAATGCTATAAATAACTACGTTTTTCTTTTTCTATTACTGATGACATCTAATTGCGTTCTATGATCTTAAATGAAGTATTATAAAAAATGAAGAAAAATGAAACCATGATATATGAATAAAAGTTCCAGGTAAACCAAATTTATGTTTTAAGTGTCTATACTATTGTTTTTACATTTAATTAGATGATCATTAATCATTTCTTAATAAAGAAAATTTTTGAGCTATTATTAGAATACGGAAGAAATGTCGTATATCAGGAAAAAAAATAATGAAGAAAACGTCCGGATTAAAATTTCATACCAATCTTTAATTGTTTTAATCAATTAAAATTACACTCTCTAATTTGTTATAAAAACGTACATAATGAACTCTAACTTTGAGAGATACTTCATGATTATGAAATATTTTCTATCTTGCTCTTTACACCTGCTGTATATATTTAATTTCCGTTTTATATTAAGTATAGAATTTTCTTATTAAAAAAAGAAAAGAACTGTCTGGAAAAATATTTTCTTTTATTCATCACAGGCAATAACGAATAATATTAATGAATGATTTAGCAGTGATAGTTTACTTAATTGGATATTATATAATAAATATTTTAATTTAAAAAATCGGATAAAACTAAACTGCATTGTCATTTCTCTTAGATAAAAATGATATATCATCAAACTATTTTTTTACTTTTATGTAAAGATTGAAGAAAGATAGCATTCATGTATATTCGAATTATTACAAGGGGGGTTGAATTATTACGTAGATTATTGGACTTTATCGCACTTTGCAATAACCCTTCAAAAATCACACATGTTTTTAGTTCTCATTCTAATAATAATATAAATTAATATTTTCTTTCGAACAGTAGTATATAAACTGCAGATTAATAAGAAAAAAAGAAGGTTGTAATCAAATACTAATATAGATATGGTAGCAGCACCTCTTATCATAGCGTATTTCGCTGCATGGTCAATTTATTCTCGGGGATATAATGTATATGATATTCCAGGAGATAAAATCACTCATATTAATTATGCGTTTGCTAATATTGGTTCGGATGGAGTATTGGCATTAGGTGATTCATGGGCTGATGTTGAAAAAGCTTTTCCAGGTGATACATGGGATCAACCATTACGTGGAAATTTTAATCAATTACTTAAACTCAAACAAAAATATCCACATCTTCAAACATTAATTTCAGTTGGCGGTTGGGTAAGTTTTCCTTAATTTTGTTTTGTTTCTTGAATTTTTTAAAGAAATTCTTATAGACATGGTCTGGTAAATTTTCTGATGTTGCTCTAACAGCCGCAAGTCGTTCTAAATTTGCAAAATCATGTGTTGACTTTGTTCTACAATATGGTTTTGATGGAGTTGATCTTGATTGGTATGTATCTATTACTGTTTTATTGAATGTAAAATAATTTCGTTTTGTTTCGCTTTTAAAGGGAATATCCTGTATCTGGTGGTCTTACTGGAAATATTGTTCGACCAGAAGATAAACAAAATTATGTATCTTTACTTAAAGAAATTCGTACACAACTTGATACAGTCGGTGCTCAAAATGGTAAAAAATATTTATTAACTGTTGCGTAAGTAAATAATTATATATGAAATTTTAAATTCTATTCGATATATTAATATAGAACTGGTGCAGGTACTGAAAGAATTAATGATATGGATTTACCTGGCATGTCTGCTTATCTTGATTGGATTAATGTAATGACATATGATTTTCATGGTAAATAGTATTTTTCTACTTCTATATCTATATAAATATGTCTGTTTTGTCTATGAAGGTGGTTGGGAAGCAAAAACTGGTCACAATGCACCATTATATAAAAATGATGCTGAAACAGCTACTGATATTGATCCATCATTTATCAAATCAAGATATAATTGTCATGCATCTATTCAAGCTTATCTTGCTGCTGGTACTCCTCGTTCGAAAATAGTTATGGGTTTAGGTTTATATGGACGTGGTTGGCAAGGTAAACATTATTTTTCTTTATTTTCTAATTCGATAAACAATATATTTGTTAGGAGTTACTAGTACGGCTCAAAATGGTTTCTCTCAAATTGCATCAAGTCAACTTCCTATGGGTACATGGGAAAATGGAATCTATGATTATGATGATTTGAAAAACCGTTTTTTACCAACCTATACACGTTATTGGGATGATGCATCAAAAGTACCATATCTTTACAATCCATCAACTGGTATTTGGATTAGTTATGATGATCTTCAATCAATTGGACTTAAAAATGATTATATCAAAAATGAACAATTAGCAGGCGCCATGTTTTGGGAATTAAGTGGAGATCGTAATTCAGAACTTGTTGGTGCTACATATGCAGCATTATTTAATGGTGCAACACCAGCTCCAGTAACAAGTGGACCAACTGTAGCCACTGTACCAACTACTGCTCAAACGAATGCACCTGGTGGTTCTACTGCTGCTCCAGCAACAACTCAAATACCTAGTGGAAATATTCTTCCATGGACAACTGGAAAATTATACAATGTAGGTGACCGAGTGACATACGAAGGTAAAACATATGAATGTCGCCAAACACACACATCAATAGAAGGTTGGACACCATCTGCTGTTGCTGCACTTTGGCATCTTATTTAGACTATCATATATTTTTTTCTCTTAAATTTATCTACTTATTGTTGATGTGACATATAAAAATCTGTAATAAAATAAAACCGGAAAAAAGTACAAGTTATAGTGAATCTAATGAATGCAAGTCAGAATGTTCACAATCATCAATATGTATTTATTTGATAATTTAATAGTTTTAGTACATATTTTGTCATAGATGATTTTATATTTCAGAAAAGAAAAAAACAAGTACTAGGAAAATTATTCCAATAAGCACCTGTCGGATTACATAAATAGATTAAATACATGTCAATATTGATGTATTATTAGAAACATTTTCTTCATCATTTAATACTTATTCATTTCAACTGTAGATGTGTGTAGTGAACTTTTTTATAAGCGTTTTTCTAATTAATTATTTTTCTAAATCATAACTTTAAATATATATTCATTTATTTATTTTCTTTTTCGACAAGAATAAATTCACACATAAGAAAAGATACATACGCACATAATTAACTAGAGAATTAGGAAGACGAAAATACATAGAAATAATAATGTACTGAGACAAACAGGTTATATTATCTTATTAATAATTTTACATACGAAATCGTCTAGAAAAAAAAGAAGAAAGAAATTATAATAATCAATAAAAATTTAACTTACTTAGGTGCTACAGCCGGACCCTGACGAGTCGAAGGTGATTGTGTATTGTTCTAAGATGAAATATATATATATAGAATTAATTTGATTAAAAACAAAATAATTTTAATTTACTTCGTGAAGTACTCGTTCTTCACTTTGACATCGTTTATGTAACATTAAGGGATCTGGTGGTGATGTACATGTTAATCGTTCAACATCATTAAAAATAACATTAACACCACCAGTACTCGATGGAAGAACATCACCCTAAATAAATAATAGAAAACTATCAATTTAATATTCAGAATTTAATTTACTTTAACAAGATCAGTAACAAGTTCACCTTGTGCATCAAGATTTTGATGTGTTAAAACATATTTTGTTGTTCGAACGATTTCTTGTTTAGCTGGTGCTTGTTGAGTACATACTTTCTTATGAAATTTTGGTTGAAGAAGTGTCTCTATATTTAAATAAATAATTTTATATTTCTTTAGAAAAAAAATAAATAATTATTTTAAACCTGTTTGAACTGTTCCTTGTGGTCTATGTTCAAGCCAAACTTCACTTAATGATCGTGATCGTCGATGTTGTTGTCTTGGATGGCCAACAACTGGATGTCCATTTCCATTTTCAATAGGCATTGGTTCAGTATTTGGTGTATGAGCATGTTGACGGGAATTTGCATCTAATATTGGTGTATTACAATTTTGAGATATTATCATTTCAACACGATGATATTGTTGTTGTTGATTTTGATAAGCATGTTCTGTTGAATTTCTTGAAAGAATAGGAAATATTTTCTTTAAACTTTCACAATATCAATTTTCATATGAATATTTACTGTGTTGGTGTTGAATTGATTGGTACTACAAATTGTTCATTTGTAAGAGTATTACTTGCAGCCATTGATCTTATGATATTTAATTTATCATCATGTTGTCGTCCAAGTTCACGCATTTTAATTTCTTTATTTTTTATTTCATTGATCTTTAAAAATTGATAAAAAATATATTTCTTTTCATATAAATATTCATTTCTTACATATTGTTGTTCAACTTCATTTAATTTTATTTTCATTTTATTTTCAAAATCATTTTTATCTTTGCGTCGGTCGAATTTTAATGATTTTATTTCATTATTTCGTTCTTCAATCTAGATTAGAATTTAAAAAAACAAGGTTTATTATAAATTAATGAAAGAGAAATGAAAAATGACTTGTGCTTTAAGTATTTTATTTTCACGTTCAGTTTGATTTGTAGTTTTATATAAATCATTTTGTGATTTTTCCAATAATTTAATACGTGTTTGTAAATGACGAATTGTTTTTGTTTGTTGGTCATTTTCTTTTGATAAATCTTCATGATTGGATATAGTTGAATCATAATCCGATGCTAATTCAAGTGTAAATTTACGTAAATATTCTTGTTGATCTTGAATAAGCTAAATAATTCATTTAAATAAAAGATAATTATTGAAATAAATAAAATATCTTTCAAACCATATTTAATCGTTGTCGTTCTTCGATACGTCGTCGTAAATGTTCTTGAAGAATTAAAATAGATTCATCATCTTCAGCTCCATCCATTAAAGAATATTCAAGTGATGGAAACGGAGCAATTAATGCTTGAGCACTATATAGAAATATAGATAAAGATCGAAATTCTAAATAAATAGAATCATAGTAAATTTACTTGAATTCAGTAAAAAGAACTGGTTGTGTATTTATTTGTTGTTGTTGTTGTTGATTATCGATTTCACGTAAACCACCAGTACGAGTTATTTTTGGTGGAACTGAAGGTAGTGGCGGTGGTGGTGGTAAAGCACGTGGTACCATAACATCTTTAGTTAATTCGCCAAATTTAAGTGCATGCTATAGATACAATGATTGAAATATTAAAAAAAAATACAATAGAAAATAAAAATATTTACTTGAATTTCTTCATATCCATCTACAGTTGGATTAACACAAAGAATCATTCGTATTTGACCTTCGCCATCGAAATAACTTTTGAAAAAAGATGTTAATTTTGATTCACGATATGGTACTATCTATATTTATAATTATTCATGATTTAAAAAAGTTTAATATAAATAATAATTACCTTGCTTGTACCTTGTGCTTGATTTTCACGTAAAGTTTCAAAACATTGTCGAAGAACCATTAATGATGAATTGATATTACCTAGATTAAATTAAAACTTTAATCATTTAGTAAAAACCTCAATTAAATTACTTACTTGCTTCTTTAACTCGTTCACCAACTGTTTTAGCTCGATTAACACGTTCACTACCAGCTAAATCAACTAAATGAATAGTACTTACTGTCAAATCATCTTTTGTCTATTATAAAAATGAAAAGAATATTATCGAAATTAAAATTAAATCAAATATATACAAGTGATGTCGGTGGAATATCATTTTGAAATTGAACAAGACGCATTGAAAGAACACTATGAGAACGACTTGATTCTGTATTCAATTGTGTATGAGCAATACGACGTCGTTTTAAACCCATATTAAGTAAATCAATAGCTTCTTCACTTGAACGTATTTCAATTTCTTTAACATCTTTTATATATGGTCGAGCACGATTATCTTCTCGTAATTGTTTCGATTGTGGTGCTCTAGATAAATCATAAAGAATAATTCTCTTGTTCTTTCTTTATATAATCTTTTTTTACTTATTAAGAATATCATCATCAAATAAATCATATATATAATTATTGTAAATTTCAACAAATGTAACAAAGACAAAATATGAACAATTTGCATTTGATTGTGGAATATGTATTGATGTAGTATCTAATGTACGAATACTTGATGCTTCAGGAATTCTAAATTTAATGATATTATATTAATTGGAAAATTGAACAAAACTAATTTTTACTTGGCACGTGTTTTCATTTGAATTTCTCGACGTTGTCGTTCAAATAAAATATCAGCTTCACTTTGAATTTCATAACTATTTTGTCGATCAGAACGAAGCAACTAAATGATCATATGAATACAAAAATAAAATAATAAAAAGAAATATTGAAATATATAACTGACGTATTTCTTTCCAAGATAAGATCCAATTGAATTAAAAATAACATCAAATGAACGTGGAATTAAACCAGGATTATTCAATGGACCCATCATTGTATAAGTTTTCCCAGAACCAGTTATTCCATATGTAAACAAGACACCTAGATTTTTTGATAAGAAATAAAATAGAATCTTTAGTTTCTATAGAAGTGATAAATACTTACTGCTTTTGCCTTGAATAAGATCATTCAATAAAGGTAAAGCTAATTCTTTAAAAGCAGCTAATTGAGAAATATTATCTGTAAGAATATGACTGAATTCATAACGAGACTAAATAAAATTCAAATTGTAAATAGAATAAATTATCAATTGAAATTATTTACTTCTCTTATTTGTCCATTTTTAGCATTCTAGAAATATAAACTAATCAATTAATTATTTTTTTCAAAGGTACTCGCTAACCTCGGATGAATAAAGAACAAGTTCTGTTGAACTTGCAATTTTTATACATGATGATGAATTATCTGGTTGTTGTTGTTGTTGTTGATCATTATTATTGTCTTTTGGTGGTCGTAAACGACAAAAAACCTTTAAAAAATAAATATGATAATTTTTTTAAAATTTCAATTCAGAATATTTGATGAGTCACCTCAACAGGACAACCACCACCATTGACAAGTAAATCACGTGAACCAAGCTGTACTTTCTTCATTGAAGTGCGTGTTAGTCTTAAAAATCAAAATCATATATATATATATATATAGTCGAAAAGAAACGAAAAGAAAATAATAGAATAGATTAATCGAGGTACTATACATTCATCAGATGAAATACTAGAATGTATATATTGGTTATTTCTTACAATAAACGACATACTATTATTGTATATCAATTACTTTATTGTACAAGTTTATCGGAAAGGAAGCGATCTACAAAAATCAAAGTATAATTGATTCAAACTATATCAAAAATATATGAGAATCACTAGTTGATAGATGTCGCCTTAACTATATCTTTTTGGTATATGTAGATTTTTTCTAATCATATTTGACGTTAAACACTACAGACATATAGCATCAGATGTTCAATCAAACGAGAAATTTATTATCATATAAAGTATTTCTTCTTTTAATCCATAAATTATCACAACATCTTATATCGTACACAATATAATAGCGTACTACTTTGCTCTGCATTATATTTATTTCGAAAAAAAGAGAAAAGTTAAGAATCGAAGAAGATAATTATTTTCTGTTTTTTTCAATATTGAGATGTGCTTTTGATTATGAAAATTGTGGTCTCTAAACTATGTGTAGAATTTAACATGACACTGTAACATATACATTGTTTTTAAGCTGTCTGATGAAATGCATTATCATCTATCGAAAGGTGATTGCATAATACATTGTTGTGATCTTATATGAAAATATCATAAAAAAAGGAGTTAAAGATAAAAGAAATAGAATCAAAAAACGTTGCTTTTATGCGTCATAAAATAAATATCGTAATTCATATTATCTTGATGCATGAAAGACAGCACCGAAAAGAAGAACAGCATGAAGAATGAAATGTGACTCAGAAAAACAACGAATTTCGTTCTTACAGTATTTCTTCAACATTTTTGTTGCTTCAAATTTGTTGAAGAAAAAGGAGAAATCGTCAAGTGAATCATTGAGTTGCTTTCGTTTTTGTTAATTTTACTATAGTGCATGATGAAAAATTAAACCATATTGCATATGTATTTCTTTCTTAACATTCATCATCATTCCAGACAAATAAAGAAATTTCGAAATTAACGTATTCTCATTTTTTTAATATTTATAAGAGAGGTAAGTTAGTGTCAATGAACTCAATCATATATTTTAATTCTCGGATTTCTTGCTCTTTCCAAGAATTTACAATAGTGATAATAATGATATGATTCTCGATTATAAAATGTTATAATACTTAAACTTTCGAAGAACTTCTTTGATAAGAAGAAATAAAAACATTGTTATATATATATATAAAAGTTTTAACTTTTCGCCATTTTATGTTATTTGTTCTTATAGTTGTTTGTTAAAATGTCTATTAATGTGTGGCCAACAGGTCGTGAACCATATCATGGTGATATAGTACAAGGTCGATTAGGAAACTGTTTTCTTATTGCTTCACTTCAAGCATTAGCATCATGTCAACCATCTTTACTTAAATCAATTATTTCTTCGTCATCATTTATTTGTTTTTTCTATCGACAAGGTGAACGTATTGAAGTACCAATAGTATTACAATCATTAACAGATGAATATCAATACTGTCGTTCAACTGTAATGAATGTTCAATGGCCTTATATTATTGAACAAGCTTATGCTCAATTTTATGGTGGGCGATATGAAAATTTAATTGGTGGAAATACATCCGAAGCATTATATGATCTATTAGGAAAACCTGTTGAAGAAGTTGAACCTAATGATACAGATCTGTGGAACAGAATTGAAAAAGGTTTAACTAATAAAAATATATTAGTTACTTGTGGAGCTATTCGAACAAATGAATCAACAACAACAACAGCAACAACTACTACCACCAACAATGGACTTATAGTTAATCATGCTTATGCAATTTTAGCTACTTTTATTTATCAACGAACACGAGAAAAATATGTTATTATTCATAATCCTCATGGAATTAATCATATATGTGATGAAGATAGTCGTGCTCGAGAAGTAAAAAATAATCTAAATAAGAGGTTTTATTATTATTCTTTTTCTTCTAGGCATTTTTTGCGTCTATTTCTAAAAGTCATCCATTATGGTCAAATACACCTGGAACTCAACTTGTTACTTGGTCTGAACTTAAACAATCATGTAATCGTATTCAAATATGTCATTTAGATGTTCAACCCTATCAAAATCTATTTGGTAATTGGACAACATTAACTAATGGTGGTTGTACAAATTATGCTACATTTTATCGAAATCCATTTGTTCTTTTACCTTTACCTTATTTGAAGAAAACGATTCTCATCTTTGGTCATACAATTGATCAACGAAATGAACGAACAACAACAGATATTAAACTCAATTATCCACAAATAGGTATAACAGTAGTTCAACTTAAATCACATCCAATACCTACTCAAGATAATTACGAAGTAGTTTGTCAATCAAAATTTTGGAATAAACGAGAAGTAATTCTTACAATTAATATTGAACCTAAACAAGGTCAACAATATGCAGCTGTTTTATCAACTTATTATCCAAATATTAATACATCATTTTGGTTACAATTCTTTTCTCAACAAACATTACCAAAAGTAGAACTACGTACATGGACAAGTGCATTTCAACAACCTGTTCAAATTGTTCATGGACAATGGCATAAAGAAAATGCTGGTGGTAGACAAATTAAATCCGATACAATGACATTTTATCAAAATCCTGCATATCTTCTTACACTTTCAGGTACATCTGTCGTGCGAATAATTCTTCATCAATCATTTGAAACAGATGTTCCACTTGCTCAACATCATCCAATTGGTATCTATATTCTTTCGAATACATATAACGATGAAGCAACATTTGGACGAGCTAGATCAGTATCAAAATTAGTTCGTTTACATGCAGGAATAGAATATTATATAGTACCTACTTGTTTCGAAGCAGGTTCTTTTGCAAAATTTACAATTGATGTTCTTTGTGATGTAGCTTTTACATTCGATGCTACTGAACGAAAACTACCTACATCATTGCTTCAAGATAAAAAGATGTCTAATACCGCTGTAACAACGAGAAAACCGGTTGCTACAAGAACGACGGGAACGAAAGAAACACCGAAAAAAGGAGGTCTATCCCTTGCTGCAGCTCGTATGTCGACAATAGCAGATGACTATTCCAAGATGGTATAATTGAATAGATAAAAAACTTATATGTGTATATATTTATATATTCTAGCTACGATACATCTAATAAATTAAATATTTTAATATAATACAGTTGAAATTAATTGAGTATTTATGTTGTTGAAAATTCAACATAGATAATATTCTTTTTCTATTTTGGATTTTGTTAGCCGATAGAACAGAAATCAATAGAGAGTACTGCCATCATCAAACGTCGCTATCCTATTGGCTATAGTTCTTCTAACTAATCGAAAGAAGCGATTGATTATATTACATGCTCTACTATTGATTTTAGAATTTAGAACTAATTCATAAATATAAAAACGAACGATATTTAAATGGAAATAGCTGTCGTAGAAAATGATTATGTTCTACCTACTGTCATGTATGAACATGATTGGATTCATATCCTTTATATGGGTATATCTACTATATTCTTTTTAATTCAAGTTTGTCAACGTATTTCTGTAGATCTATTCTACTCATCAAGTATGTATTCATATTGAAAATCTACTTAATTAAATATATCGATTTATAATATAGATGATCTCAAAACTGGTATTTATATTCCATCTCTTAATCGATATCCGACTGAATTAACTCCTTCACCTTCCAGTATATCATATATATGGTATATTGTTTTTATTTGGCAGGTAAAATTAATACATATAAAATTTTTAAAGTGATTCATAAATATTTCTTTAGGCTATATTAATTATATATTCAATAATTGGTGTTTTTCGTCGAACATCATCAGGTAGTTATTTCTATCAACATCCATGTGCAATGAATAAATGGTGTTTTTTCTATATGGCATTTGGTCTTATTTTATATACACCTCAATTGGCAGCTGCTGCAAAAAATAAATATGGAATTGGAGTAGGAAGAAAAAATATGGCAATTGTTATTTTTTAATATGTTTTTATTTTATATTAGATTTCAATCTTTCGTCATGTGGGTACATTATGTGAAGTACTTATTATTTTAGTTGTTGTTCATGTATCATTATGGGAAAATTTAAACAATTATTTACGACAAAGATTGTATGTATTATCTGATTTTAATATAAAAGAAATTAATTTTTTATATTATTTAAGTTTTGTCGATGTTTGGCTAACACGATTATTATATCATAATGGTTTAGCTTTATGGGCATCTGTTCTTTTCTATGAAAGTTGTTTATCAATTGTTATAGGTTTTATTTATAGTAATTATATTTCACCAATAACAGCATCTTTTATTGGATGTTCTGTTCTTCTATTTGGTCTTTTGATACTTTCTATTCTTGAAAATATAATTTTCTATAATTCACTTGCATTTACTTTATCACCATGGTTTGCTTTTATATGGCTTTTAGGAGGAATTGTTTTCCGTCAACACGATGAGTTGTCTTCATCGATCGATGTCATTTGGTCGGTTCGGTTGATTTTTTGTATAACATGTATATTAACATGCATTCGTTTATGTTTATTTTTTTGGCGATATAAAAACAAAGTGATACCAACTTTTCAGTCACCAAGAATTTATAGTCTTGTTATAGAACCTAGACCTTTTTAAATTGTTAATCTTTCTTCCTGTATTTTTCTTGTTACTATTGTACAGTATTTAATGTTTTATTTTACTTTTTGTTATTAAATATAATATATTGAACTTTTTGTAAAGACAAAATTAATTATTAAGCGTGTATTCATAAGTTTTGATCTTACTTTCACTTAACCGAACAAAGTGTAGTTTCTTTTAAATAGTAGCTTGAACATCATTCTTTTGCACAAATAGATCTTCCATGATTTTTTTATCTATTGAAAAATACAGAAGCGAACAACAACAATACTTACATTTTGTTACAATGCAGTACTTTTAAACGCTTCTCAAAGTTTTGTTTTGTAACTATAACTTCAAATGAAAATGTGATACAATAGTGAGGAGTATATGAATAAATCAGTGTATGGTCTATTGCTACAACTAATTGAGTATCTCTAAAAGTATTAACTTTCTCTATTATTCAGATTTCAACTCGGTAAACAGATGCACACAGATCCTTACTTTTGTCTATTTTGATAGTTCTCATCTTAATTTAATTGAAATAGTTACTCAACTTCATGATCAATATAAAGATTACAGATGAATTGATTGACAAGAAAATTGTCTTTAACTCTTTTCAGTTTCTTATCGACATACAAAAACTAATTTAAAAAGTATGTTCTTTTAAAATCTGAAACGATACTTTTGTATCCAATGCTGCATATCTCATTCTTACAAATTAAAATTGATAGATTTTGTTTTTAATGTCTGCTGTACTGTGATTTGAGGATGTGAAAAAAGAAATGTAACATTTCTTTTCTTTCGAATCGTTTACTTAAAGCCCTTCTGATGTTTTTGAATATGTAATAATTGTTACATATAAAACATTATTTGACATAATTAGTTGCTTCTTTTGTGATGATGGGTTGTTATTTTTGAGTATAAAAGTATATAATATTTTTGTGAATATAGAAATAGCCTTATTTAAAAGTAAGAGAAGTGCGTCTAAAGTATCATTTTGTCGTTAAGCATATCAATATAATGGGAATCAATTGAACTTTATTTTGTACTTATTTATGTCTTCATCATTATGTCATCGCTCATAGAGTATAAACTATTATTGAAATAACATTAATATTGAGTGAAAATGTTCTTGCAATGCGATATTATATAACAGAAAAACATACTTACTTACCTCATGTGTTTAAAAACGTGATGCTTTAGAAAAAAAAGTATTTTAAACTATATTGTTACATGTATATATATATATACTAAATATTATCGTCAGAATACATTTCATTACGATCATGCTGTTTCTTATATTTGGAATACTATTCGTCAATGCGAACTGCATAAAGATTGGTACTATAAAACAAGCACAAATAGTGACCAATGCACCTTCGATCTGGTTATATAATCAATCTACATGGTCGCAATGTTTATGTTACTCTCTTCAATATCCTTCAGTTGAATATTTTAACAGTTTTCCATTGAATTTATCTTGTCAACTATTTTCAAATCTATCATCATATCCATTTCAAATCATTAACAACTCAAATGTGACAGTATATTTACTTCAACCATTAGTACAATATACTCCATGTTGTTCTAATTTAACATGGTTAATTACACAAATGAAATCAAGAATGAATTCATTGAATATTTCTTCGATTACTGGTCTTGCTCTTGATAGTAACAATAACAGATTAGCTACAGTGGCTTCATCAAAACTTCAACTTGTATCTACAACATCTTTTAGCTTCGTGAATTCAAGTATTAATCTACCAACAGGATCTCAAGCAATTAGTTATTCTCAAGGTTCTCTTTATGTTGGAATCTTTCCTGTTGCAACACCTTATACACTTTATGTTTATTCATCTTTAAACTTGACAAAAACTGGAAATATGAATTTTACTCAAGGAGGACCACAACGTATTATCTGGCTTTTTAGCAATACACTTGTATGTGTTCTAACACAAACGAATCCATCGAGTGTTTCGAAAGCTAACTTTTACAACTGGCCATCAAATACATTAAATCAATCGATTACACTTGCAATACAAAATGCATATGGTCTTGGCAAAGCATCTAATAATGACAGCTTTGTTTATATTACTGATGGATCATGGGGAGGTAATATTTGGCAGTTAAAAACTACTTCACCATATAATTTTACATTATTTGCTACAAGTGCAACTAGTAGCGAATCTCCAACATCAGTGACATTTGATGGATGTAATCGTATGTGGGCAGCATTTGCTAATTTTGGAGTTAGAATATATGATATAAATTCACGTTCATTGTTATATGCATGGAATTTGACTTCAACTTATTCAATGTTATATGATATAGTCATTACAAATCAATATCAACTTTATTTAGCCGATAAAACTAGTGGTACATTGGCTCGTTATGGTTCGGAATTACAATGTACAAACTAAAAAATAACACATGTATATATGTATATTCTTGTAATTTTATTTTCTTATTTATTTAAATTGAATAAAGTCAACTGTACATTATTATAGTTTATTAGTTTCAAGATGTTGTATTTTGTATTTTGATTCTAAAAATGCTAGAGAGGATAAAAACTATAGACTTATTTTTGCTGTAGATTGATTAATGGAATAAACTAAAACTTTGTACTCACAAGCGCCTAACAAGTAACGCACGTTGCTTCGACTCACTGTATCCATGACTGAATGATTGAGTTTTTATATATCCAATATTATCTTTCAGAAACAATTATGTACTTTCTTAGCAGTTGGAGAATTTTCTCTTCGAAGCACTTAAAAGTTAGTGTTCTATTTCGACTGACATTTAAAAACAAAATCAAATTATATATAGGCAAGATTAATTCAAGAGATAAACTACTCTAGTGAGAATGAATATGCTGCAACTATAACTTAAAGAAATGTATTGTTTTGAACTTATATTGCAGTTTATATATTGCTTAAGAATCTTCATACTAATAAATGACTGCAATAAAATACACAGAACTTTTTCAAAATTCAAAGGCTTTTATTTTATTCAAACTTTGGGTGATAACCGTCACCATTATGAAGAAGAAATTTGAAAAAATTACAATAAAATAACACGAGAGAAAGATTATAGGGTGTGGGTGTAACCGTTGATACTTTAGACTTTTTTTTTGCTGTCCATTTTTGTTCATATAGTTCAGCCGTGTTAGAATATAAAGAACTTGTCTAAAAGAAAACATTAAAAAAATGATAAAAATCATGAACCTTACCAGCACATGTAGAATAGATTGCTTGTAAGCAACTGTTATTTGCGGATTTATTAATTCTCGATGAATGCCATTTTGACTCTAAAAAAAAGTATTGTGCTCATGAAAGTAAAAAATGATTTATTTACCCATAGATTATTGAGATATTCCCAGGTCAAACAATCCGACCCGGAACCTGTCGGTTTCAGATAATTCCGGAGATTTGACGGAAGCAGTATTCCAGCGATCATTGCTTTTAGCTACGAGTTGATATAACGTACCTTTAATGTTGGTAGTTGTTGTTGCGCCTACGAGATCCATTAATACGCTTGTGTGAGCAGTTTTGCTTGCAGTACGATCGCGTTTTAATACATAAACTTGGTTTATTAAATCCTGGCTTTGAAAATGAAGAGGGACGTAGTGGGTCATGCTATGATAATGTTGTAATGCACCAACTCCCATAAATTCCGGTAATATTTACTACGAATATATTATCTAAGTAAAAAAAGAAAAGAATATTAAAGGAGGTGAAACAGTTAGCAATTAAAACAAATCAATTATTGACGTTTCATGCAAATTGATATTCGATCACTTACAAATAAACAGTAAAAAACAAGTACGCTGTTGCCAAATCATTTCTTAGAACCAGAAAAAAAAATTCTTTTAGCCTGTGCTAGTATTGATGCTTCTTCAAATTTAAAATGACGTTTTTGTATGATTGACCAGATCGCTATAATTTGGTTTAGGATTATTTGCATTACTTATATGTTGGTTAATGTTTTCATTACTTTTTTCCTAGTTTGTCCTACATATACTTTGTCATAAATTGCACAGTTAATTTTATATATAACACCACCTTACTTTCATTCCTTACTTTAACATTACTAATAAAACTGTCACCAATTCTTGTTTGTTTTGAAAATTACTGTAACATTCAAGTTGTGTTTTCTCAATAAATTTGTGAATTTTCTACTAAATGTAAAAGATTCGTTACCGAAATAACTCAATACCTCGTTAATTTTGTCTTAGTCGGTGTTGTTATTATTATTATTTAAATGTAGATTGTTAGTTTCATTATTATAAATTGACTGCTGATTCGCTAGATGATTTTTATTATTATTCAACTAGTTATTGACACAATTATTATTATTGATACTATTTTCAGTCCTAATATCAATGTTGTTGTTAATCTTAAGGGTGGATGTGGGTGTGGGTGAGGGTGAGCGTGGGTAAGAGAAGAACGCAAAATCGACGCGCCACATCCACCCACATTCGCAAGATACAGAATATGTTTCCCTAAGTTTTCTAGCAAATATACAAATTGAATAAAACTAATGCGACTCTTTTCACTTTATTATGGTGCCAACGTACAACCCAACAGTCACCATACGAAATTCTCCATAAACTCACAGATTCTCAGTTATCAACCATGCTGATGAATTCCAAACCAAATGCTCGTTAAAGATTGATTATTTCATGCTCCTATCCGTGACGAATAATATTAAGGTGACCTTTCTAACGACGAGCTATTAACTATCTATCTCTCATCTATTCGTACATCAGAAGATATTGTGATCTCATCACAAAATGGCATTTCGCATCTGAAGATTTTATTGTAACATATCATATGTTAACCAATATTTCTTATCTCGATTTTCTTCTTTCTGGAGACACCCTCTGCTTGCCGTTAGTCAATTAGTTAATGAACAGTAAATCAATCCACTGTTTATAAGATACATGCCATTCTAAGCATTGAGATATAGCCATAAACAATTTCATACTATACTATAATCTCTAATTAAGTACCGTAAATATGACTATAAAAAACGCACCAGATAGACAGTGCCACGTCTTCATTTACACTCGATCTCAAATATATAGTTACAATACACAACGCAAATAAAATGAGTGTTTTCTTTATACTTTATTACACTGAAAAAAGTATACCTTGATAAGTAATACGCATTTTCAATGATAATTTTAGCAAATTATAATATGCTTTTACATAAATAAAAAGTTTAAATGAAAAAAATAAGAGAAAAAGTCAAATTACTTCATTATATATATAAAACTTGATAAAAGAAAGAAAGAGAAATCATTGTAATAGCATAAAGCCATGCTTTTCATAATAATATTTGTAATCAGAATTGAAAACAATCTATTAAATATATTAAAAATAATGATTGACATATATATAAAATTTTCTTAGATTTAATAAGAGAAAAAGCAGAAAAATTTCCTTTAATTAAAAGTAAAAATCCTAAGGAATCAAATTTCTATTGAATTGTTATTTTTTATTATTCTAAATAAAATTTGTTTTAATGAATTTAATCTTATTTGATTGAATCAATTTAATTCAGTTGTTCCTTTTCTTATATCTTTTTTAAATAAATCAGTTAACCATTGAAAATTTTTTATTTTTAAATAAAATTAAAACTATTTAAGGGTTTTTACACAAGAAAATATTTTGATCATTGATTTGTATTTGCACACAGATTTTCACTCATTTTTTTTAAATGAAATATTTTAATTTTCATGGGATGGCAAATATTAAACTAATACAAATTTTGAAGTGTGCATGACAAAATTATTCAAAATTTTAATTCTTGAAAATTTGTAAAAGTTAAAAATGCGTATCATTTATTAAAAATTCATAGATAAGCGAAGATGTATGTAATTATATAAGTCGTTACTTAGAATTATGTAATTTGAAACGAAACGGAGAACCAGTAATCAGAAATTTACTTTTTTCGTATTGAAAGTGTGGATGTGGCTGTTGATATCTGTTGTAGTCTTGCATTCAGAGACAAGATACTTAGTTAAATACTTGATACTTTCTGTACTTTGTACTTGAGGGTGTGGGTGTGGGTGTGAACTATTCTTCTCATTCATTCCTCACACCCACACCGTCAAGATGGTAAATTTAACTTGTTAGAGTGCTCTCTAACAAGATTCAATATAATCAAAAAAATAAATTATTAAAAGAGACAATGAAGATCTATAATTTATAAAAGAGATTGATCCTCAAATAGAATGAATAGTGATATTTAGTTTTATAAAGTGCACAAGTTCAGTTTAACACCAATATTATTAGAAAGTGTATTAGTTGTGGCAACATCCATCATTTTGTCATTATTAAAATCGCCAATGACTACTGAAGTTGGATCTATACCAGTGTGACGATCGATATTTATCTTAAAAGTTCCATCACCATAGCCCACCAACGTTTTAAAAGTATTCTGAAAATAATTGGTCACTATAAGATCTAGGTTTGCATCATTGTTAAAATCGAATGCAATAATAGCATAAGGAGATCCACCAACAATATAATTTTTCATAGTTGAAAAACTACCATCTGCGTTTCCAAGAAATAATGACAAACTAGCACTAAGAAAGTTGGTCACTATTAAATCTAAATTGTTATCATTATTAAAATCATTTAATGTAGCAGAAATTGGTGTATCACCAACTGAATAGTTCATATATGATCGAAAGATTTCAGTTCTATTGTTAAGAAGGACACTGACGCTATTATCACCTTTGTTAATTACAACTAGATCTTGTATACCATCCTTGTTTAGATCACCTGCCAACATAAATGATGGAGTTTTTCCAACCGTATAAGTCTTTTGAAGTTGAAAGAAACCATTTGAATCACCTAATAGAATACTGATAGAGTTGTCGTCTTGATTCACCACAGCTAAATCTAACATATTATCATTATTGAGATAATTTGCTAAGACAAATACAGGCTTCCAACCAGTGTTGACTTTTCGTCGTACTTGAAAGATTCGATTAACATCACCAAACATCAAACTTATGGAATTATCACCTTGATTAACTATCGCCAGATCAAGCCTTAAATCATTATTAAAATCAGCTGATACGAGAAAAATAGGATTTATACTAGTTCCATATCCAGGTAGATGTTGAAAGGTTCCACTGCCATTTCCAATCAATAAGCTGACAGTATTATCATTAAAACAAGCTATTGCTAGATCAAGTTTTCCATCAAAATTAAAATCACCCGATACAATTGACGTTGGAGAGAGACCAACTATATAACTAATATTATTAGCGAATAATCCATTTGACTGACCAAATAGAATAGTGATAGAGTTATTGAAAAAGTTAGAAATTACTAAATCAATGAAAGTATCATTATTGACATCAGTCGATATTATATAACATATTCCATAACTAATTATATACTTC